TCACAGTCACATCATTAGGAAGGTAGAAAAACCATTTCTCTTCATTCAAAAATTCAGTTAAATGATTTCTTTTTTTCAGAAAAAAAAATCTTGAAAATAAGAGAGGCACTCGTGAAATAATCTGGTCCCCAGAAGATTACCACCTAGCAACAACTGATTAGTTAACTTATTGGTCCTTAGGCAAATTCTAAATTGGTTAGTTTTCGAATACACTCATCATTAAGTAGGTTAATGACTCATTTCTTAGGAAACTGTTAATGGACTTATTCATAAGGAGGAGAATATGTATTTCACTTATGGAATAAATCTATCACAAAGACACCTCACGCCATAACCAGATCAAGCATCTAGCTTGAACCCATCACAAATGGCAAGGACATACGTTTTTCCCAGGTAACAGAGGCTTTTCCATTGGAATCATGCCAAGAATTTTCTTCTTCTTTCTTTTCTTTTTTTTTTTTAACAAGTAAGCACATGATCTTGAATGTTTGCCAAACCTTCGCTCTTCTGCTTCCCCAGTACACACTGCCCACATGATCATGAGCAGGCGTGTCTCCCTGATTCACAGCACGCTTCCTTACCTAGGTGCCTCTGCATCCTCTGCTTCTGTCGGCCAGCAGATCTGCTGGTCTACGCATGAAGCAAAATGTTCCAAAGTCAAAAAAAAAAAAAAAAAAAAAGGACAGATACCACTTGTACAAACGCTGAGTTGTTCTGGAGCGAATACGACAGCCCTGGGAGGAAGTTATTCAGTGGTACACAAAAGACCCATAGAGACAGGGCATACTCTATTCTTTCTTGATAATATTTACAAACATTTCTACCAACGAATTAAACGGTGACCTTGGAAAAGAGGTCTGACCTCCCTGGGCCTCTGTGTACGCAGGCTTAAATGAGTTTTATTATACCAACCGTTCCCAACTCCTCTCCCTTGAAATGACCTTGCATTCTCTCCTGATCCTCACCACACTGTGTGGACGGAATTTTCATGTATTTGGTGGTGGGAGGGCGGAGAGGCATCTTCTCAAGGATAATATATAGTCAGCTTTGTTGAAACAAAAAGCAGCTAGAGGAATAGGAGCTTTCAGTGTTGCAGACCACTGGGACCCCAGGAAGTGAGACTGGAAAGCCCCAGAACAGATGACCAGCCAACAACCTGGAACCACCACTCTGAAGCCACCAACATAGTGACGGCTGTGAAAGTCCTATCAGATCCTGAGCTCTGCATACTGCCAGGCGTAAAACGGGTTTAAAAAAATTAGGGGGCTTCCCTTCCATGTCCTACTTCCTGCTTAACTGCCCACATTTTACTCAGAATCAATAAACACATGGAAGAAAAAAGAGGGAAATTCAGTAAGTATCAGCCAAGCGAAATAGAAAACAAAACAGCTACCTGGAAAGTTGCCTGAGACGGGTCTAGGCTAAAATCCTAATGTAACTGTTGGCTCTGAGCTTCCCCAGCAGACAGTTTGTAGCACTCGGAGACAGTATGATGGGATGTAAGAGCACAGGCTGCCGAGTCAGACCTGAGGAGGCAGGACCGCAGGACAAGGCAGGACAAGGATGGTCAATGGGCACCTTCTGAGGCTCACCCAACAGTATGCCTCTCAGCTCTCGGAACCTGGCCAAGTCCCGGGGCCTCTCTCGGCTGCAGATTCCTCATTCCCAAGGAGTGGCCCTGCCTAATGTCACTGGGTTTGGGAGTATAATGTGATACTACAGGGAAGAAAATGTCTCGATGCCATGAAGTGAGGAAAAAAACAGTGCCTGGATTTTAAACAATTCTTTTGACCTAAAGGAGATAGGGCAACACAATACTCTTCCAATACTGATCAGCATAATCGTTACAATTTCACCAGCACCAGCTCCAGCTGCCTTCTTTCACTGCGCATCAGGTTCTGGGATTCTTAGTAGCACCTAATTCAGAGGTAAATGATGGGCCCCCTCCCCTAAGTAACTACTTTTACATTTGGACAGAGGAAGCACTACGTCACACTCATAAATGCTAGAGATCAGGCATTAATACTATGTAAAAGCATAAATCCTTCTTAGGATAAACATACGGATTTTAAGGTAATTATTAAAATCACATAATATAATGAAATCTATCATAATCCCTATTTTTACACACTGAAAAAATTGCAATTTAATACTAGACTACAATCAGTCACCCAACGATTTATACCAACACCCTATGGATAGATTAAAGCACCAGTAAGACTATAATTATACTTAAGGTTGTAAAGTTTTAACGTGATTAGAGAACACGTCATTATTCAGTATTTGAGTTTCACAAAGACAAAATTCCCACCAAGCCTCTTGGGGCATGATTAGATGAGACATGGAGCCACCTCCCCTCCACACACACACACACACACACACACACACACAAAATATTTATTTCTGGAAAATTTGATACTGTTTAAAATCAATACTAAAGGACACCTGGGTGGCTCAGCCAGTTGAGCGTCAGATCTTGATTTTGGTTCAGGTCATGACCTTAGGGTCATGAGACTGAGTCTGGCTTAGGGCTCCACACTCAGCACAGAGTCGGCTTGTCCCTCTCCCCTCTGCTCCTACCTCACTCCTCTCTCTAAAATAAATTAGTAAAATCTTAAAAACCAATAAATAAAATAAAATAAAAACTAAAAACAAAACAAAACAAAAAAACAACCAGTATTGACAAGGTGCTGTGCATATGGTCATTTATCTTTTTTTTTTAAAGATTTTTTTTTAATTTTTATTTATTTATGATAGTCACACACAAAGAGAGAGAGAGAGGTAGAGACATAGGCAGAGGGAAAAGCAGGCTCCATGCACCGGGAGCCCGACGTGGGATTCGATCCCGGGTCTTCAGGATCGCGCCCTGGGCCAAAGGCAGGCGCCAAACCGCTGCGCCACCCAGGGATCCCTATGGTCATTTATCTTAAGGCATATTACGTACCACCATATTTAACCAAATATTCCAAATTTCACTAAAAGCACAATAGGCAAGGAGTATTTTATAAATCTTGTTTGTGGGTGTAAATATTATGTATGGCATAAGAAAATGGGGCCAAATCTGAAGACACATTTGTCTGCTCAAGGTTTACAATGTCTCTGAACATGTAAAAGTGACTTTATGCAAATTTAATATTTTTCTAGTGTAATCGCTGAGAAATCAGAACCGCTAACTTGACTATTTTACCGCTTGTAAACGAGCAGCCTTTAAATTTTAACCCAATTCTATCCCAGCGTTCCCATGCAATGAATTCAATTAAGCAGCAAGAGTACCATGCACAGAAGGATCTTGTATTATTCACATCCACTGAGCAAAATGGTAGTGTACAACGTGTATTTCAAGTCCCTCTATTCAAACTTCCTTCTGTGCCTTTTATTTTCGTGTGCCGTTAACTCAAGTCTCTGTGGCTATCTAGAAAGAAATCGAATCATCACTAGCAGTTCTCAGCCTCAGCATTTGCCCCATCTTGAATGATGACTCCACTTGTCCTCCTCAGGAAAAAAAAACCTACCAATGAACTCAGTCTGCAACGATCTACCTTGAATGATTCAAAAAACCACCGTGATCTTGAAGAACACATTCAAATAGATAAAATCAACACAGTCTCCCCATTTATATTTAGATAGTACGTTTCTACTTGATCAGTAACATGGTTACAACTGATCACATTGGAGGCTCAGAAAATTTGGTTTTCATTTGTTTATTAAAATGTCTTGCTCATCTTGAATAGAAAGACATTCTCCTCATGTCTGTAGTAGAGAAAATCTGCAGCAAATTCTCCTACTATTAGTGGAGTCCGTGAAGACCCGGCTTTGGGCGGGGCTTCACTTCCCTCTGAGTTTTTCCTCACTCTACTTGGCAGTGCAGATAAAAAGAGTAAAGTTACATTTTCCCTTAAGTTTCTAAGGTGAAATGGGAACACTTGATTCTGTGCTACCCAAAAAACAAAACAAAACAAAAAACCCTCTCAACTTGCCAAATCTGATACCAAAAGTTAACTAGCTCTTGGAACTATGCTTCTACAGAAAATGCATTAGTGGGAATTTTAACAGAAAACCCATTATACCCATGCTGGTAGTAAATAAAAGTGCTGCGAGTCCTCCTCCTCTCCAGAAAAACAGAGAGATTCGTTTAATACACATAATTCCAAAGAAAATAATTATAATTAATTATCTATTAAAATTCCTTTTGTGGGGGAGTGGGCCTGTGCAAGAGCAAATGAATCAAACAAACACTGGAGGTTTTCCTACCATGTCTGACAACCAAAAAAAATCAAAATGGAGCAGGAGGGGCTACCCCAGTTAAATCAACCCTAAAGGAGAACCCCCAAGCCCAACACTAGGTTCAGCAGCTGAAAGCTTAAGGGTTCTGTTTTTCTCTCAATACAGCCCACGTTAAAAGCCAAAACTATCAGCTAAAAAAAATGTATATCGTAATTATTAATTTTCATATTGACAGTACCTCTGGACATACAAATAAATCATAAAAGGTAATCAAAAGTACGGTCTTAATATAGTTTCAGCTTTAGGACGCTGTTTTCCTTGATTATGTCATTTTACTACGTAATTTAAAACACTACTTCATTGCAATTGATAATTATATGAACAAAATCTCAAGTTGGGTAAAGATGGGGGGAAAACATGGTTCTTGGAGACTGGAGTGGAATTAGCAATGAAGAAGAAAAGACATGCATCTCTTAAAAAAGGCGTTAGCTCCATATGTTTTTTTTTTTTTATGATAGTCAGAGAGAGAGAGAGAGAGAGAGAGAGGCAGAGACACAGGCAGAGGGAGAGGGAGAAGCAGGCTCCATGCACCGGGAGCCCGACGTGGGATTTGATCCCGGGTCTCCAGGATTGCGCCCTGGGCCAAAGGCAGGCGCCAAACCGCTGCGCCACCCAGGGATCCCCGTTAGCTCCATTTTTAGACGACCGTGAGTTGTTTCTTTTTAAGAACACTCATTGACAAAAGTGACTTTCCTATAAACCCTCATAGTTTCAAGGCAATAAGTATCAATAGTGTCAGTGAGTTTATTAGCAGGATCCTTCAGGAGAGCATTTTAACTGTTCTTGATTTTTATGATCTGCTGGACCTCCCAATGGCCGGGGCCACAGGAGTGAGAGGGTTATAATTACCCCATTTTACAGACAGAGAAAGTGAGAAAGTGGGGTTAAATGGTTCTCCTCTGTCACACAATGACTCATTAAGATCAGCAACCAGAAACCTGGTTTCCTGATTCCTGGTTTAATGTTCCACATACTATGCTTCCTTCTACGAAGTACTATTTTTGTAAAGGCTTCTCTTTCAATAAAGGAAGTAGAACAAGTCACGTGACTTTCATTCACGAAAGCCTGTGTGTTTTCATTAGCACCTTGGTTGTCTGTTCCCGGGAACAGGGCAGGAGCAGTGTTCATTATTATCTTATTACGACCAGAGCTGGCCAACCAAAGCAGGAGAGCACGCAAAGCAGAAAAATAAAGGGCATGTGGTTTGTCAAGCAATCTCATTGGAGTTCTAAAAATATTCAGGTTCTTTGCTTTCAGACTTCCAATGGGCAATCCTTTTAAACATAAATCGTGATTATCTTGTTCCTTTGGAGACGTTCCTGCTGTCCCCAAATTCTCTGACCATAGGATATGAACAAATAGTCCTCTTATCAATCAGAATTTAAACAGAGATCCTTTCAGTGGTAACTCGTATCTAATCTGCCTTATACATACATAAAAACCAATTTTAGAACAAAAATCCCACCAAAGAAGAACAGCTAGATAGCACCTTTTATGATAAACACCAACCTACAGTCGTAGCACAAACATGTATACAGTTAATTTTTAAATGCTGTTTTAAAGCATAGTAAATTCCACACTGTATTTTCAGTTCCAAAACAACAACGTTCTGACAGATTGGTTCAATGTTCCTACGTACGCACCCGCAAAGCACGCAGAAAGGGCCTTCCTTTGCTCCCAAATAAGATGGATAATTTACAGTTCAAATTTTATTTGCTCTGGACTAATCCATAACTATTGTGTTATACAGATTATTATCATATATTAATCCAGAGCATGCACACACACACACACACACACACACACACACCCCTAAAGTGCACTGACTTGCTTCTGGCACCGAAATCCCACCATCCCCCAACTCTACTGTAAACAACTATCAAATGTTGTTGCAGAAATCTTGTGTCTTTGTTACCACTTATGCAAATGCCAAACCCTACTGCAGGACCCCAAATCATTCTGCTTCAGCATAATTAATGACATTTCCCCACGTGGAGACGGAGGAGCTCAGTGTGAACAGAAGCCTATGCCACTTCTGAGCGCCAGGCCATGCACACAATGACCCAGGAAGTTTTTTCTCCTATTTCATCTTCAAAGAAATGCTTTCCAAGTCTTCCTCCCTATAAATCATCCTCCCAAAGGACGCTTATCTCCCGTGAACTCTTTATTTATGAGCACCACAGACAAATTTCTACATGCACACGTGAGTTAAATAAAAGTGGACGTTCATTTTGAGTTCCTTTCTGGCTCCACAGACCACAGCGCAGGTTCCACATTCATTAAGATGACATCCTTGTCTTTCCTGTTCTACTGTTCTTGTGTCAAATCAGTTCACTAGAAATCCATTTCGCATGTAGCCCTCTTAAAAAACTGTGGTTCTGGCACAATGGATCAATTGCAGTTCTCGATTTTGCTTAAAAATAGTCCTTTCTCTTCTTAAAAAGGTGTTTACCATAATGCTCACAGAGTCTTTGGAAAAACGGCAAGCAAATTCAATCTCATCTTTGTTCAGCCACCACCGAGCCTACGAACTGCTGTTTTGGTTTCAGGAGTCCTGAGTCCTATAGGTTGAAAGGAATTTTATACTGGTGGGAAAACAAACAGAACAAGCTAAATCAGGTCTCTAACTAAACTTATCTCTCGCAGTTTTAACATTTTCCCCGAGTCTGAAAAGGGCATTATATCATAACATGAATCACGTTTCTTAATGTATCTCCCTTATCAGGAAGGCCTTGAATCCTTTCAGGCTGGTAGAGGCAAACCCCAGCTCACTCCTCCTGCTCCTGCAGGAACCCACTCCTGGGGCCTTTTCTAATCCAGGCCAGGGTTTTGCTTCCCGTTTCACCAAAAGGGGTAAAAAGGTGTTATGTTCTCAGGCTGCTTTTCTGATTAGAATCAGATTTCAGCAAAATGTACTTTCATGTTTACTATGGCATATCCCCCATATACCGTATCATCTGGGCATGCGAGGAAAATGTTTGTATGCATGCATTTCTCCCCCCTCCCCTCAATTCCAGTCATGCCTGTGTGTTTCTATGGTCTGTGTCCTAGACTGCAGCTAATCCTTCAACTCCCTGACACACAAACAATTTTTCAGAAGTATCTGTAGTGTTTAACTTAACTGCAAGCAAAGTGACCTTCAGAGGCAAGTCATCGTTTATGGGATACACTCTGACAAGTTCCAATTGATTTAATTAGATGGTGCTAGAGCACCATACTCCTGATGATTCTCTAGGACTCTTTTCATCTTTTATTCTATGGTTTTAATAAAAAAGTAGAGAGCTCTTCCTCTCTTATAGTAGAACAACAGGCTATTTACCCTACAGCTGTACTTTTACATCCCATGGACTAGCAGTCCCAGGCATACTATCAACTGTATGTTGGACTTAGGACAGCTTTCAGCTACTCTGTTTAGGAACAAAAAGCGCACGGATCCCCAAAAGCTGTGGAGATCGTAACTTCGGACCCTTTGCAGACTTCTGACTTCACATAACACTATTTGCTGCTTTATATTTTGTGGTTCCTCCAGAGCCTCTACCTTACTAGAACCCTCCCCAAACACACACATCACCAAAGAAAAATTAGGAACTTGTGAATTGAACATTCACACCCCCTACCACCCAGTCATTCAAAGTTTGAGATCCTCAGAATGCACCACCAGCTGCAAAGCAAGCACACCTCTGCTCATGGATATTTGATAAGAACGTGAAGGATACGGGGCACCATCCTGTCCAACTGTTCTTGAAAACACCACGTGGCTGTCTTCCACTTGTTTTCTCTAAAGCACTGATTCTAAATCCCGGCTGCACGTCATCACCCAGGCAAACTGTGAACAACACTGGTGCCTGTGCTCTGCCCACCGGAGGCTTCGCTTCAAAATCTGCCTGGAGCGAGGCCCCAAAGGGGCTTTCTCAAACTTCCTCAGGTGAGCCTAACCTGGGACAGGGTTCTCAGAGGATGTTCCCCAACCGGCAGCAGCAACACAACCTGGGAACTCCCGAGAAAGGCACCTTCCAGGCCACACCCTACACCTCCCGCATCACAGTCTCTGGGGCTCTGCACAACCCAGCCATCCAGGCTTCAGCCATCTCTGACCAGGTGACCCCCCCAGGTATGCTCGAGTCAGAGAACTACTGCGTCTACCCCACGAGTAGGCACTGCCACCCTGTCAGACCCTTGGGAGAAAAACGATGCCTCTTACGGAAAAGCCCCTACAGTTTCTGCGTAAAACTGAACCACCGGTTATAACTGTTCCCTGTTGCAGCCACCAAAATGGATGCTCATTTTCTAAATGACTTGCAGGCCTGTTTTTAAAAACTTTAAGGCTCAGCAAAAATCAGGTGGGACCTGCTTCCAGGAAAACAAAGAGAAAGGGTGAGGGAGCTGTCAGAACTTCAGGTCAAGAACCAACCCCTGGCACTCTGGGGTGGCTGACGTGGGAAGACCCGTGCCCTGGGGACAGAGGGAGGACGGGGTGGGGTCCAAACAACAAGTCCACAGCTCCTGAGTGGGAAGCTTCACATCCAACTCAGAGATATCACTGAAGACCACTGGACGGCTCTTGGTGTTTGGAGAAGAAGGAAGCCGAGGGGGCAGGAAGGCTGCCCCGATATTTTGTCACTCAGGTCCAGGTACCAAAGAACAGCAGCTCCCCGCTCTCCCAGCGGGTCTCTCACCGGACCTTCCAGCCATCCTCCCACCGGTCCTCCCACCCTTCACAAGGTCCGAGGGCCTCACCTTTCACGATGGTGGCCTCCTTCAGGTGATGGGACAGGAAGTCAATGCTGGCATAGGTGTTGGCGGGGGGCAAGGCGCCGGGGCTGGGCCCCCCACACACCCCACCGCCGCCGCTGCTCCCCACGGCGGTGATCAGACCCCCGAGACTGCGGGTCCGGCCCCAGGCGCTCTTGTCTCCGGACTGCGGATGCAGATGCGGATGCGGATGCGGATGCTGCTGCGGGGCGGGTGACAGCCCAGGCTCGTCCCTCACGTCGATGGCGATGTAGTTGAGGCCATTCTGGAAGCCGGCAGAGGTCTCCCTGCGCATTGGGGCGCCACTGCCCCCAGGGCAGCCGACCAAGCCCCCGGGCTGACCTGGGCCCCAGGGGCGCGCCTGCTGGGGGTGCGGCGGCTGCAGCTGGCGGGGGGACGTGGGGCGGTCGTCACCGGCGCCCAGGACGCCGCTGCTGCTGCCCCCTTCGCTGCTTTTCCTGAGAGACACGTTTTCCACAGAGGCCGAGTTGTGGCGCTTCGGGTTGTGGGCGAAGGAGGGGGACACGGGGGTCACAGTGGTGGTCGAGGCAAAAGTCTCAGAGCTGTGGCGGCGCCGGCCCCCCTGCGGGTCGGCGCGGATGACCTTGGCGCCCCGGTGCGGGTCCGGGGGCTGGCTGGCCTGCAGGAAGGCCTCGACTCCCGACACCTGGTCCATGAGGCTCAGCCTCTTCACCCCGGACGTGGGGCTGGTCACGCGGGCGCCCTCTGGCTTCGGGGGCGCCGCGATGGGTTGTGGCGGGGTGGCAGCCACGCCGAAGGCCATCTCGGTGTAGTCACCATTGTCCCCGGGCTCCGAGGAGGAGGAGGAGGAGGAGGAGGAGGAGGAGGAGGAGGCCGCGCTGGGGCCCTGCGAAGGGGCGGCCGGGGGTAGGCGGTACAGCTCCCCCGGGGGCGGCGGCGGGGGCGGCTGCAGCTGCAGGGAGGCCGCGGGGGCGGCGGCGGGGCGAGGGGGCAGCGGCGGGTAGGGCGAGGAGGCCTCGGGGGACAGGAGGGCGTCCAGGGAGCCCACGGGGTCCCTGCTCTGCGCGCCGGGCTTGGGCGACTTGGGCGAGCTGAAGTCGAGGTTCATGTAGTCGGAGAGCGGGGAGCGCTGCCTGCTATCGCTGCTGGTGCCCGGGGTGCCCGAGCCCAGGGAGGAGGCCGGGCTGCTGGCGGACAGCAGCGAGGACGACGAGGCCGCCGAGGCCAGCAGCGGGGGCGCGGGCGGAGAGAGGCGGGCCCCGGCCTCGCCGAAGTCAATGTTGATGTACTCGCCGGGGCTCTTGGGCTCCGGCGGCAGAGGGTACTCGTGCATGCTGGGCAGGGTCTGCAGCCCCTCCAGGGACAGGCGTGTGGGCCGCACTGCCCGGCAGCGCTGGGTCAGGAAGCCGTCGGGGCGGCCAGCGCTGCTGCTACTCGGCCTGCCAGGCGAAGGCACTGCTGGGTGAGGGGGCTGGGTGTGGCCGCCCGCCCCTGCGAAGGCGCCGCTGGCCGTGGGCCCCGGGCTGGCCGGCGGCTCCAGCCTCTCCTCCTCCAGGATGCGCCCCACGGGGGAGCTCATGAGCACGTACTGGTCGTGGTTGTCCCCGTTGCACGTGTAGGGCGCCTTGTAGGAGCGCGGCAGGGAGCTGTAGCAGTAGCCAGGCACTCCCCTGAGCACCTCCCCACTGCCGTGCAAGGCGGCCGAAAAGAAGTCTGGGGGAGTCCCCGAGGTACCCGCGTCGCTGGGGGACATATTGAGGTAGTCCCCGTTGGGCAGCAGCTTGCTGTCGGCGCTCTCGACGGACAGCTTGGAACCACACCACATACGCATGTACCCGCTGTCCTCGGGGGAGCTCTCGGCTGGGGAGCTCGCCTTGTAGCTCACCGCACTGGCCGGGAAGGCCCTGCCGGCCGACGGGGTGGGCGCTGGCACTGCGGCTCCCGTGGGGGGCAGGGCGGCGGCGCTGGCCCGCGGTCGCAGGATCTGCTTGGGGGCAGACACGCTGGTGGGGCTCATGGGCATGTAGTCATCGCTCTTACAGCTGCCACTGCCACTGCCCCCGCCCACGAGGGCCACGCCGGGGGTCATGGGCATGTACCCGTCGTCGGCGCCGAGGTTGCTGCTGGAGCTCCTGTGGGACCCGATCTCGACGTCGCCGTAATCCTCGGGATACGGGTTGTAGGCCACTTTGGGAGAGGACGCGGGGCAGGACGGGCAGAGGCGGCCAGCGCTGCCGGAGAAGGTGGCCCGCATCAGGGTATACTCATCCAGGGACGCGGAGGAGGGCTGGGGCACCGGCCGCTGCCGGGCAGGCGCGGTCAGGGAGTAAGTCCTCTTCCTCAGCCCCCGGTCCAGGTCCTGGGCGCCATCCCCAGACACTCTGCGGTAGGGGCGGCCACAGTGGCTCAGGGGCCGGTCCATAGTCATGTACCCGTACAGCTCGCCCCCGCTGCCGTCCCTGGCCGGCGGCGTCTCGGCGATGGACTCGGGCGTGTTGCTCCTGTGGCTGCAGAAGGCTCTCAGGTCGCCGGGGCTGGAGCCATACTCGTCCAGCGACATGAAGCCGGGGTCGCTGGGGGAGCCCGAGGCCGACGCGCTGCCGCTGGACGGGCGCTGGCCCGCGGGGTGGTGCAGGGGGTGCTGCAGGGGCGGGTGCGGGCCCGGGGGCGGCGGGTAGGAGCCGGAGCCGTGCCCGCTGCTGGACGACAGGCTGCCGGGGCTGGTGGCGGCCGGGGGCGAGCGCGCCACGGGCATGGACATGGAGCGGCTGTGCTGCAGGGCGCCCCCTGCCGGCGCCGGCGCCGGCGCCCCCTTGCTCGCGCGCCCGCCGCAGCCGCCGCTCAGGGTGTGCGAGCGGCTCAGGGGCGCGCGCACCGGCCCGGGGCTCAGGGGGCTCCCGGCCACGGACACCGGCCTGCCGCCCGCCGCCGCGCCCGCGCCCGCGCCCGCCGCCGCCCCCGCCCCCGCCGCCCCCGCGCCGCCGTCGCCCTCGCTGGCCGTGCGCACCCGGCACGAGCTGCACTTGGCGGCCGGCGGGGTGGCGGCCAGGCTGTCGGTGCGCGAGCGGCGCACCAGGCCCGTCTGGCTGGGGGGCAGGTTGACCAGGTGGTGGTGGCGGCGCGCGCCGGGGACGCTGATGGGGTGCGTGGAGGACGAGCCCGACGACTGGCTCTTGCTGCGCGGCCGGAACTCGAAGAGCTCCTTGAGCGCCTTCATGGCCTCCAGGATGGTCTCGTGGATGTTCTGCGCCACCACCGAGTCGTCGGCCTGCATCCACAGCTCCCCGGGGCCCGTGACCGCCGAACGGCCCACCTCGATGAAGAAGAAGCTGTCCGAGTGGCCGCAGCGGCGGATGTTCATGAGCTGCAGCGTCACCGACGGCTGCTCGCAGTTGAGCTTCACGAAGCCGATGGTGCGCGCCGACAGGCACAGGCGGTACACGCCCGTCAGGTTCTTGCTCTGGCCCAGGCCCTTGGGCTTCAGGTTCACCTGCCACACCTCGCGGTAGGCGGCCGCGGCGGGCGCCACCAGCCCGTAGCTGTCGTCGGCCGCGTTGGCGCCGGCCGAGCCGCCCAGGGCGCCGGGCAGCGAGGCGCTGCAGGACGCGGCGGCGGGGGCGGCGGCGGCGGCGGCGGCGGGGGGCGCGTCGGCCGCGCGGCCCTCGCTGACCAGGTCGGTGAGCGCGCGGTACCAGCCCTCCTGCTCCTGCTCGTTCTCGGCCGCCACCGCGAAGTACTCGTCCTTGGTGTAGAGCGCGATCAGGTACTTGTGCTTGGCGTCGGCGCGCTTGTTGATGTTGAGGCAGCAGTCGAGCGCGATGACCCGCTTCGGGGCGCCCGCCTTGCTCCGCCACTTCTTCTCGCTCTCGTAGTACTCGAGCCGCGGCGGCTGCGGCGGCGGCGCCGGGCCCCCGCCCCCCGCCGCCGCCGCCGCCGCCGCCGCCGCCTCGTCGCCGGGCCCGCGCAGCACGAAGAAGCGCTTGTGGCCGTGCTTCTGCTTGCGCAGGTAGCCGCACTTGCGCACGCTGTGGTTGTTGTTGTTGTTGTTGTTGAGGTTGGGGCCGTCGCCGCCCGCCGGCCCCGGGGGCCCCGGCGGCCCCGGCAGCGGCGGGCTCGCCATCGCCGGCGTTTCAGGCCGCGCCGAGCCGCGCCGAGCCGCGCCGAGCCGAGCCGCCGGGGGCAGCGGAGGGGGCGCGGGCGCGGGCGCGGGCGCGGGCGGGGGCGCGGGCGCGGGCGGGGGCGGCTCCCTCCCCCGCCCCTGCTCGCTCGCCCGCGCGAGCCCTCGTCCCTCGGGCCCGGGAGGTGGCGGAGGCCGGGGGAGGCCCGCGGGGGGCCGGCCCCGCGCGGTGGCGCAGCGCCCTCCGCGCCCCCGCGCCCCGGAGGATGCCCCCTGGCCCGCCGGCCCGCAGCCGCCGCCTCCCGGGCTCTCGGGCGGCGCCTGGGGACTCGCTGGCTGGGCCGAGAGTCGGGGTCCCCGAGCCGCGGGGCCGAGCCTAAGGCGCGCGCGGCCGCACCGCTCCGGCCGCTGCGCCGCGCTCGGGGGTGCCGGGGTGCGCCCGGGCACTCGGGGTCCGCGCCGCCACCGGGGCGGCGGCGGTGGCGGCGGCGGCGGCGGCGGCGGCTGCTGCTGCTGCTGCCAACGGCGACCCGGGCTCGTCGCGGTCCCCGCCGCACAGTGAGTAACACATCGCGCACCGAGTGACTGAAGTAACAGGAGCAAAACAACATGTGACTCGGCGTTACGCAGGCACACACGGCGCGGCCGCCCCGCCCCGCCGCGCGCATTGGCGCCGCGCCCCCCGACGGACGGCCCGCGCGGCCAATGGGAGCGCGCCGCGGGGGGGCGGGCCGCGCGCCCCCGCCCCGCCCCCCTTTCTCCCCGGCCGCGTTTCCCGCCGTCCCCTCCCCCCTCCCGCGGAGGCCCGGGCCCGGGCGGGGTGGGGGCCGGCCCGAGCCTCATTAATCAGAGGCTCGTTGTGGGTGCCGGCGGAGGAGATGCCACCCAGGGCGGGAAAAGGGGCGCGCGGGCGGGCGGGCGGGGCGGGGCGGGGCGCGGAGGGCCCTTGTTCCCTCCCGCCTCGGACTCAATTAATTGGGCTCGGAGCTTCCGCCGGGGAGGGGGCCGCGTGCGGGGGCCGCGTGCGGGGGCCGGGTGCGGGGGCCGGGTGCGGGGCGGGTGCGGGGGAGGGGACTCCGCAGGGGGCGGGGCCGGCCGGCCTGGCCGTTGGGGGCCCGGGGGCGGTGAACTTGGCTGCCCGCTCGTCACCCCCTCCCGGCAGGCACGCGGGCGCGCCGCTCCGGAGCCCCAGGCCGGGGTGGGCGCGCGCCTGGGTGGTTCCCGGGGGCCTGGCCCGCGCCCCGTGGACGAGCATCCCGGTTGTCCGCGGGGAGCGCTGGACCGAGGCGGCTCGGCGCCCTTTCCGGGAGGGAGGGAGGGAGGGAGGGAGGGGCGCGGCGCCCCCCCGCCCCCCGATCCCGGCCCGCGCGCGCCCCGGCTGCTACCGGGGTCCCACACGCCCGGGGGCGCCCTTCCCCCGCGCCCGGGTCGTGGGCTCTTCCGGGGCGTCGTCAGCGCCATTCACTTGTCAGGCTCTCGGGAAGTTGAAGTCGCGTGTTTGGGATGTAACAGGAGAAAGAGAAGGAGGACGAGCAGGCGTAGAAAAATGCGGTTTCCATAGCGCCGGAAAGAGGGCGGGCTCCGGCGAGGACGCAGCCCCGAGCCCGGGTCCCCTCCGGCCCCCGCGGCCCCGCACGCCAGAGGGGGCGGCCCCGGACCTGCGCGCCCGGCGCCGCCAGCCCCGGCTCCGTCGGAAATGCCCTTGAAGAAGTGCCCCCGAGGGTTGCATCTACGCGGCTTTTGTGATGGCTTTTGCGACTTTCAGAGTCGGTGACGAATAAGTGCCCTTGCAGCGCACCTCCCAAGTGTCACAGTGGGGGCGGCGGGGGAGGGTATGTGTCCCCGACTGGAGACCCTCCTAGCAGGCTCCGAGTCTTGCGGAGACTGAGAAGCCTTAACAAAACAAGCCCTTGTCTGTTTTCTTCCTTTAATTTGTGTATCTTCATGACATAATTTGAAACAATGATGTTGGTTATTTTCTACTAAGCCCTGGAAGTTTGCCTTTGAGTGTCCTCTATAGTTTATAAAGGTCTTTATTTTTGAATGTAATGAAATCTCACGTCGAAGGATAACAAGATCGTGATTTTTTGACAGGGCAACGAATATTTTCACGTATTTGTGAGCATGTGACTCCAGGATCCTGCCAGTTACTATTATGTGCCTAAAGAACCCTACTTGCACGAAGATAACAGCGCTGTTGGCCTGTATACAGTTTACAGTTATTGTTGAGTGGCATGAATTGGGGAAGAAGGGTCAGCGAGGCGTCAGTCATAGTAGAGTTTGCCTCAAGGAGGCATATTTAAAGTCGATCTTCCATTTTAAGTCTAGCTCCAAGAAATAATACCTCCCGGAATGTCATCTTAAGGGTGCGTGGGTGTATGCACGTGTGAGGTTGTATGTGTGTCCGGGGCACCTTCATGGACATGGTGCTTTGGTTTTCTGTTCTTCTTAGATCTTGTCCTTTCTATGTTGGCAAATGTTGCCTAGCAATATGTTTACTCAGAAAGGGGAGATGAAGGGATTCTTGGAGTTTGCAGAAAATGTGGCCCAATTTTGTCAGCTTTGTGACGATTTCCATCTCACTCCGTGGGGGATCTGAACGGGGCCTGCCTAGATGTTCGGCGGCCCTAAGTAGCCAGCAGTGATCCATGGTGGGATAACCTCTTCTCAGCCTCACCGGATAGTAATGATCTCCTCTGAGAAAGCATCTTTTTCAATTGTTTCATTCTTTTCTTTTTGACCCTGCCTTTTCATATGAAATTAGATTTTCCTATACTCACCAATGCTTGCTTGGGGTGCCCCTCAGATGTTAACAAGTGTCATCTTTGGAAGGTTTGTTTTTCTCCTTAGGGCTATTCCAGTGTTATGCCATCTCCAAGCGAAGGTGTTAGAAGCTCTAAGTTAGCAGGTGGCACTTTCCCCACGTGCTGCCTCAGTCACCAGGAGAGAAGGCTGAAGAACTCTCACCTACATCAGTGGCATTCTCATACCAGAAAGATCACAAATCTCCTGGAGCAAAACTATAAACTAGTTGTCATTCTGAAGTCCTAGAACCTCTAAATACGAGTGTGGGAGATACAGTTTCCATTCTCATTAAGAAGTCAGCCCGTGAAACCAACAGTAAGGAACTCTGTAATTAGAAGTATCCCCGTCTTCTTCCTCAGCGAAGGAGCTCATTGTCTTTCTCTCTTTCTACTGCCAAATAAGCTATTTAATTTATTTAAAGCTTGTCCGACACCTTGTGATTTTCCAACTGTTCTCCCATACTTTTCCAGCAAAAGTCAGCTAATAACATCTGCCAACCTGCTCTCCACGCAGGGCCGGGTGCTGCTCGCATGGCCTGTTGCCAGCCAGCAGCCTGGATGGAATTTTTTTCTCATGGTCCAAGACCTTTCCTAGGAAGTTCTCTTTGGTATCATGGATAACGAAATGGCCATATCTTTTAGCAAGGAGCGTCTTCTGTTTGTTTTGTTTCGTTTACATAGGATCATATGCAATGATTCTTTTCTTAAAACGAAAGGTCCTTTCTGGAATAATTTGATTACCTTTCATAAAGTAGTCAATTTCATAAAAATGTAGTCATTAAGAATGCATCACAAATCCACAATACAAATAATAGTAAGTATCATTAATTCTCTGTTTCATGTAAGAAAGGCACAACATAGGAGGACAAAAGTAGATAACATTTTAGGGCTTGTGAGTTTTTTTTTTTTTTCTTTTTAATCCTTAACCCTGTATCTGTTTGATAGTATTTCCTATCTAGATGAACTGTATCTAAAACCAGACTGAGCAGGGAGATAGTGGAACACTATACAACCAGTTAGAATAGCTTCAATTTAAAATGTGCTTTAGGAGGAAAAAAAATAGAAATAAAATATGCTTTAGGAGGTCTAGATTTTAACCTCAGAGGCTTTTGTCAGAGGACCTATTCAGTCTTTTAAAAAAGTGACAGAATTTCATCACATTTTGCTTTATTAAATGTTGAATTTCAGTAATTCATTTAATACATTTCTCTTTCTCTGGTGAATGAACCAAGCAAAGATAGACTTTTCCTCATTTAGAATTCATAAGAGGACTTCCTGGACTTTGGTAGCTGTTTTTTTTTCCCCCCCACCAATATATTTGCTAATATGTTTCAACTGAAATTTCACAAGAATTTTGTAACATGCTAATTGTGTGCAACAGAATGATTGACATGAGAGAATGTAACCACTGTTTGGATAGTTTACTATCTATGCAGGCATTCCAAATGTCCGAAGAATCAGGATTTGGTAATAGATCATATTGGTTCCTTGGAAATTGTAAAGCTTTCCACCTTAGTGTTTATTTTGTTTATTACAAATACTTACGTATTTTAAATCTTCTCTTTCTTAAATATTCGTTAGGGAGGGGGGATTTTCTAAAATAAATGACTATTTTGTGTGCATATATGATGGAGCAAACTACTGTAACTTTAACAATAAGAATTCTTCTGAAAAATGTATACACTGAATTAATACTCTTTAGAACAATACTCATTTATGTAGTAGGAACAAGTACAGCTCACCCAATACTCAAAACATTTTTATTTTAAATATAATTATGCTGAAGAAACTTAAACGTATAAACAATCAATTACAAAGTGACTATAGTTAGTGACTTAAAATTTTTATTAACTCACCTCTAGATTTTGTTGTGTTTGAGAAAGTATTTCTAGCTTTTTTTTTAAAAAAAAGCAAACCCCTTTTTTCCCATAGACTTTCCATGATAGGAATAAAAATTTTACATTAATGACTGTATAACATTACTGAACCGTAAAAACACAAGAGTTCCTTCTTAGAATATCCCTCTTGGAATGCTCGGCCCTGTAACATAATACACTCACGTTTTGCTGGACCAGATTGGTGCCCTGGGTAGTGCTGGCTGTCAGTGTTCTAGCTGCTGGGTTAAAAAGTTGTTTGTTTGTTGTTATTGTGGCTTTTCTGTCAGAGCAGAACAAAATTGTCTGCTTCTCAATCTGTGGATCATGAGCAGATGACATTAAAAAAAAAAA